ACTCTTGCCTACCCGCTATGCTGTCAATCCCCAGGGCCTCACAGATGCAATCAGATTCTTGTTATGTCATCTATAGGTATTTCCCTCTCTTTCCTAATGAGCCCAATGCCTGTGTCATCATCTTCTCCAACCTTTTTCCCCTAAATAGCACCAGTCTAGCAGTGGTCATCCTTCTCAGTTCCCAAAATCTGGCTCTTGTCTACCTCAGGTATGTACAAAAGTGGTTGTAACTTAGTACAAACCCTTCCACCCACTCAAATGAATTTGCCCAAAGTGCCAGAATTCCTAGCTATAGTTCTGCAGAGGATCAGACACTCAAAAGTTGGAAAGCATCTGCTGATACAGCTAATACACAGCAAACCTCCAGTGCTCTTCCTCCTACACCACTGTGCTGAGCCTTAAGCAATTCAGTCTGGAACTAAAAGTACTCCCAGTGATATTCATATTACCCTTGAAGAAAACGGAATTATAGTATGGCCATAGTTTTGCCTTTGAGGTCTAGATGGGAGGGGGCCATTCCAACCGATTCTTTATCCTACTTATTTTCTCTTCTAATGGTTGGTACCATGTAGTTTTATAGTGAATTATTTCTGTTCATTTCATATGTTTTGATTTTATCTGCCTAGCTAGGCTATAATTCAGTCCGTTAATCAAGTATTGGCAACGTGCTATACACAAGACATTGTGCCAGGCTCCACATGGAGATACCTCATCCATGCCCTCCCCTCCAGGAAATTTGTAATCTAATCAAAGTGAAAAGACAGGTAACTGTAATTTAAAAGAATGTAGTAAACATAGACAAGGTATAAAAAGGGTATTAAAATACTTGCACTTATTAAAAATCTAATGAAAAACTGGGATCTGTCATTGATATCCTCATAATTACTGCTATGGCAACTCAGAAAACAGAAAAATAGGCTTTGACTTGTGAGTTCAGGACAGAGTTCAGTGAACAGGTGGCAACTGAGCCATACTTTGAAGAATGGGAATGACTTCAGGCAGAGAAGGAAAGGAGGGCACTCCAGGAATAAAAGGGAGGGGAAAGAGGGTTGAGCAAATATAGAGAGGCATAAAAGCAAGAACACTGGATACTACGGTTTGTCTTGGCTAACCCATACCCTTGATAGGTAGATTGGGCTGGGACTAGAGGTCCCTAAATGTGTTAGATGACTTTGGCACTGGTATGTTTGTGATAAAGAAAAGAGTGACTAGAGGTGAAGAGAGACACGAGGAAGAGTCCAAGTGAGAGCCTCAATTTGTAAGCTAGCAGTGAGAATAGAAAACAGGCCACATATAAAAAAAAAATCATAGACATAAAATCAACAAAATTTGGGGATTGCATGCATGATGAAGTAAAGGAGGAATTAAAGATGGCTCCAAGGTTCTGAATGCAGATGGCAAAAAAGAATACCTGTGGCATATATACATAGATAGATAGATAGATAGATAGATAGATAGATAGATAGATAGACAGATATAGATATAGACATAGATATAGACATAGACATAGACATAGACATAGACATAGACATAGACATAGACATAGACAGAGACAGAGACATAGACATAGATTAGATATAGATATAGATATAGATATAGATATAGATATAGATATAGATATAGATATAGATATAGATATAGATATAGATAGATATAGATATAGATATATGCATACACACATACATGCATATGTATCTACATATGTATAAATGTATGTGTATATATGTATGTATATATACACCCAGACACATACAAAATACATATATTCACATATATGGAAGTTAGAAGAAGGAAGAAGGATTTTTGTTTTGTTTTTTTCTTAATGGAAAAGACAAAGGAAGTTCAGTTTGGTAACATGTCCTATTTAACGAGTCAACAGAACATGTAAGTAGACCACAAAAGGTCACACAAAGGATCATATATTTAGAGCTGAAAGATACTTCAGCAATCACCTAGCTCACCTCACCTTATTTTACAGATGTTTAAGAGGCAGTTAGAACTATGTGTCTGAGACACAGATAACAGGGCATGGCTGAAGATCAATTTTGTATCTGTGATAGTGGGGCATCCAATAAAATGGGTTCAGGGACTGAGCATGGTCTAGTAGAAAGAACATTGGATTTTGGAGTCAAAGATTTGGTGGCTTGAATCTTCTTACTTATCTAGGTGACCTTTGGCAATTCACTGAAGCATTCTGAATGTTGGTGTGATTGTCTTATTTTAAAATCAATTGTGTTTCAGTTAACAAGCTTTTATTGTCTCCCTGTGGAAAACAAAAGCAAAAACTTGTAACAAATAATTATAGTCAAGCAAAACAAATTCCCACATTGGCCATGACCAAAACAAAGGACTTCATAGTAGCACTATGAAGATCGTCAGTTCTTGTGTGTGTCATGCGCCCCCTTCAGCAAGATGCTGAAACCTCCAAATACTTAAAAATAATGTCTGTAAGTACTTCAAATACCTAGGATGACAAAGAATACCAACTGGAATAAAGTTATCCAAATGCTCTTTTTAGTATATTCATAGATACCAGGTTAAGGGTTAGGCTAAATGGTCTCTAATTTCTAAGTTTCCTTCCAGTTATATATCTCGGAGCTTAGGGGGAAAATAAGGAATTGTCAATGAGGACCCCCTTTTTTTTTTTGGCTAGGCAATGGGGATAAGTGACTTGCCCAAGGTCACACAGCTAATAAGTGTTAAGTGTCTGAGGCCATTTCAACTCAGGTCCTCCTGACTCCAGGGCTAATGCTCTATCCACTGTGCCACCTACCTGCCCCAAGGACGCACTTTTTACTTTCAGAATTATTTGAATCAATAATCCGACCTCTTTCTGAAACTATAGTTTCCTTAAAAAAAAAAAAATTCAAAGCTTATCAGCAGGGATGCTTTCAAAAGGAATCCAAACAGATATAGAATACAACTAGATAGCACAGTAGGATAGAATGCAGCTAGATAGAGCATGGGCCTGGGGTCAGGAAGACTTATCTTCATGAGTTCAAATCTAGCCTCAGACACTTACTACTTGTGCCACCCTGGGCAAGTCACTTAACCCTCTTTGCCTCAGTTTTTTCATCTATAAAAGGAACTGAAGAAGGAAATGGTAAACCACTCCAGTATCTTTGCCAAGAAAACCCCAAATGGGGTCATGAAGAGTCAAACACAGGAAAAACTACTGAACAACAGTAGTCTGATCAAAATGGTTTAAAAATAATAATAATAAAAATTAACCCTTGTAAGTAAAAATTGAAACCAATTGTTGGTTATCAAATGGCCCAATCCAATAGCATGCAACAGAATAGGCTTCTGCCAGGAGGTCATTGGCATATAGAAGAAATAAAATGTTAAAATAGTCTGCCAAAATTCTAGTTAAAGGTGGAAATCCTCCCAATGACCTGGTAATGTTTATATGACTATGCCTCTGCTCATGGACTTAAAAATCTATATCTAGAATTTTTTAAGTCCCATATTTATAGCAAAATTAATAAGGTAGTAAAAGTGTTTGGTTTTTTTTTCCATTTTCTTCAATAAACCATTTTATATGTGGTGAGCAATAATGTGCTATAGTGAATAAAAAGATTTCCTTGAAGTCTGAATGATCTGGCTTCAAATCAAACCTCACACATATAATAACAATAGCTAGCATTTGTATCATGTTCACTTTACATGTGCTATCTCATTTGATCCTCACAATACCCTTGTGAGGAGATGCTATTATTATCCCCATTTTACAGATGCAGAAACTGAAGCCTACCTAGATTAACTGTCTGGTCCATGGACACACAGCTACTAGGTAACAGGGCTGGGGTTTGAACCCAAGACCTATAGGTCCCAAGTCAGTGCTTTTGTTCTCACTACACACCACTGTTATTCAAATCATAATTGTTTCATGCTGGTTAAATACGTGATGTTGACCTTTAGTCTTAGAACTGGGGCCACTTATTCTGACTAGTCTTATGGGTAAGTTCACAGGCATCATATACATCTGTTGCTGCTAGGCCTCGTGACTTCTCAGGCCACAGTCCCAGTCTCTATAGACGTCACTACGAGAGCATGTGCTCAGGCACTGAGACTGGATAAGTGTCATTGTCTAGTGTGATTAGTAGATGGACTTCGCATTTGTTACCTCCTGCCCCAAGCAAATTTTCTCATCTGATAGTGAGGGAAAGGTCATTAATTTTATTTTCCATATCTAAAAATGAATACTGTCACAGAAAGAAATCACCCAAAACAAAAGCTCCCTCAGTTTCTCTGACTCATTTTATTTCAATTACAAGCTTCTGACCTTTCTTTATCCCTCTAAGCATCACAAGGAGATCAGCATGAAGGAATCATGTGCTGGCCAAATACTTACTTAAAGACCAAAAAAACTCACTGAAGCAAAAAGGGGATTAGCAAGGTCTGGTGGGGAAGAGAGCCAGCCCAACCGAAAACTTGGTTAAGGTATGGGAGATTAGGAAGCAGTCAGAAACACAAAGCAAATTAGTAGCTGTTACATCAGTAGAGGAACAACTCAGAGCTGCAGGAGACACTGAGCAGAGAAGGGCCTAAGGAAAGGTAGGGGAGGGAGCAATTCATTTCAGAGCTGGGTGGAAAGAAACCAAATGCTGTTGAAAATATATGGCTCTCAATCATGAAAAATAACTCAACTGAAATCTGCTTTCAGCACTTTTCATAATTCCATGATTTGGTTTAATTAATGGTCATAAATTAATAATGAGCTCCTTTGATAAATGGCTTAGATAAGAACCATATTAATTTTTGTTGGAAAAAAGAATATTGAAATTTCATTGAATAAAAGAGGAATAGTTGCTGTAGGCTTTATGCAAACTGAAATTCCTCATGGTAGATTATGATGATGATTAAACTGAAATGGCACATTCTATCTTCTCTTATTTAATGGGGAAAAATGTAGGCAGGCATTTTGATGGTGGAACAGGTAGTGATAATTATGATAGAAACCTGGTTTAATTGTGTATTATCATTACTCTTCTCTCTGTGTGTTTTTTTTTTCAGCTAAATTTTATTCATGTACTTGAGGTCCATCAGAGGAGAAAACAAGGTAAGAGGTTTGGGATTGCATTCCTGAAGGACTTTCCTCTCCAGAGGTCTCCAGCTTCTTGCCTAGACTAGGATGGCAATGAGGGGACATCTCGTCTGGCTGCTCTGGCCACTGCTGCTCCTTCCCCAGGGTCATGCGCAGTTCCCACGGGAATGTGCTACACTTGATGCATTGAGAAGAGGTGAATGTTGTCCAGACCTGAACCCAGGACCTGAGCCTGGGACAGATAGCTGTGGTTCATCAACTGGGAGGGGCAGATGTGATGTAGTTACTGCTGATTTCCGGCCTCATGGACCCCAGTACCCACATGATGGCAGAGATGATCGTGAAGCCTGGCCCACTAGGTTCTTCAACAGGACCTGCCACTGCAATGGTAATTTCTCAGGATACAACTGTGGGAAGTGCAAACCTGGATGGAGAGGATCATCATGTGACCAAAGGGTCCTCACAGGTAAATACAATGAAACAGGCTGAGAACACGGTAAGAGAACTGAAGCAACCCTTGTGCAAGGGGTGGGGGGTGTTAAGTAGGAGAATGTTAAACAAAAATACTACCTAGCACTAGAAGCAAATTCTTTGAAAAAGGGAAAACATTTAGTTAGAAATAGGCACAGTTGGATTAGAGAATCGGGGAGTGAAATTGAGAAAAAAACTATCACAGGAATATGAATATAAAGTTGGGAGGAACCTTAAAGGTCATCTAGCCCATTTCTCTCATTTTGCAGATGAAGAAACTGAGGCCTATAGAGGTTAAGTGACTTGCCTAAGGTCATACAGGGAGTGAGTAGAATAACTGAGATTCAAACTCAGGTCCTGTGACTACAAAAAAATATAATATTGGATTAAATAGTGAAAAAATAAATGAAATTAGAAGGAAGAAGCTGAACAATGGACAGAGTCATCATGGTACAGAGAGGAAACATCAGATTTGGAGTCCATGAACCTAGGACAGAATCCCAGTTCTGCTGCTTGCTATGTATATGATCTTTGACAATTCACTTCAATATATTAGTCCTCATTTTCCTAACCTATAAATAAGGGAGTTATATTATGTGACTCTAAAGTCTCTTCCAGCTTTGAATTAAATGAAATTATTATAGTAACAACAGCATAATTGTGATATTTCTATCAGAATATTAATCAATATCATTCTTTAATGGATACTTCACCATATCTCTTGGTAGTTAACGTTAAAAATTAAAAGGAGGATGGAGTAGTGTAAGGCAAAACGTTGTTCACATTTATCCCCTCTAACTACTTTGGATGAGTAGTAGATAATCACAATGAAATCTTATCAAAATGTCTGCCAATACGGACCTGCCCCTTTCTCCAAAGAACCAAACACAATGACGGTCTGGGGCATCATGAGGGCTCTGTATCAAGAAGGCTCCCGTACAAACATAAAATCTAATTACCATCTCAAGGAAAGCTCATGAACCTACTAAAAATGAACGATGTCCCTTTCTCCTCTAAGAGACCCTCCACAATTGCTAAAGCAAGAAGGGAATATAGCAGGAGCTAGGATGCCTTCAAAGAAGGACCATTGCCCAGACTTACAGGATGCTATTCAACTTTATAACCTTAAAACATCCTGACCAACAGCTATCCAACTACAGAAAGCATTGAGCAACTAATGGATTTCTTATAGAGTTAGATTTTAAATTAATATTGACTCCATTTTTATATAGTTTTCCAAAGGACTTTATTTATAACCACCCAGTGAGATAAGTAAGGCAAACATTATTATCCTGGTTTTATAAATGAAACATTAAGTTGAGAGAAATGAAATGACTTGTTCAGGGTGAATCAGCTAATAAATAACTATCAAAGTGGGAATTCAAAACCATGTCTCCTTGACAGGAGCTCCAATGCCCTTTCCACTATTTACCGAGTAGCCTCCCTTTAATCCAGTAATTGAATGTCAGTCAAAAATCTTCAAACACAAAGGCTCCTCTCCCTACCTTACATGTATGTGTCCTATTTTCAGCCGTTTTTTCTCACGCATCATTAACCATCAGAAAGAGTAATTCAAACTCACTGGAATTGTTTAACTATATATATTATAATAAATTCAATAGATCCTTTAGCTTCAAAGTATACTCCTTTACATAGTGTTCTTTTCCTAAAAGACTGTCTATATATGTAAAGAATGTTGACTATCCCTATACTCATGCTAATTTATGCACCTCTGATTCTCTTATGTGATTTTAATGCTCTGGATTCTGTCATGTGTATTGGGCTTGGGGTAGGGTGCTGGGAGTTGCTTCCAGTAGACCTGTCCCAAAGACAAACAGATCACCACTTCATTTCAATTCACTCCATGTAAAGCATTTAGTGCAGAGCCTGGTACATAGTACGTACTATATAAATGCTTATTCCCTTCCACGGCCCTAACCTTAGAGCTCCTTTGATATGATATAAAAGAAAACAGAATACTATAGACAAAAGACAACTGAAAGTCTTTGGTGTAAACTAGTTTGACCTGTTATTGAATTAAGAGTACCAGATTTAGCATCACGGAACTTGAGGTCAAATCCAACATCTGGTATTTTATCCCTCTATGACTTTGGGAAAGTCATTTCTCCTCTACTGGTCTACATTTCCCAATATGTAAAATGAGGGGGTCAGAGAAGATGATTTCTAGGAATTCTTTCACTTCCACATCATATTTAAGCTACTGAAAAGTTTATGAGTCTCAGTCTTCAAAGAACCACAATTCCACATCTTTTCTATGTTGTATATTGTCTCCTAATAAGGATTAATATTTAATTCTTCTCTTCAAGTTAGGAGAAACCTTCTAGACCTGAGTAAAGAAGAAAGAGATCGTTTTATCCGTGCCCTTGATGTGGCAAAGCGTACTATTCATCCCCATTTGGTCATAGCCACCAGGAGATCAGAAGAACTACTGGGGACAGATGGCAATACACCACAGTTCGAGAATATTTCCATTTATAACTATTTTGTGTGGTCCCACTATTACTCAGTCAAAAAGACTTTCCTTGGGGAAGGCCAGGAGAGCTTTGGGGCTGTGGATTTTTCTCATGAAGGCCCAGCATTTCTCACCTGGCATAGGTACCACCTACTGCAGTTGGAAAAAGACATGCAGGTAAGCTTGGGGATAATCGCTGAATGGGTTAGCTTTTAAGAGTCTTTGCTTGGAAGTAAATTGCTTCTGAACACCCAGTGCAACTCTGGATGCTAAATACAGGGCTGGGAAGTAGAAATTCCTATGTTTCATTCTGATCTTGACTCTGACTGGTTGTTGAGCTGTGTTCAATCCAGTTCCTATGCGTGGCTTTATGCTTCATAAACCATTGTAAAGGAAGAAACATCAAGTCTTCATACCTTTCAGTCTC